CGTTTGTCTCTTGTCTCGTTCTCATCGTCTGTATCTTGTCTCTCGTCCTCACTGTTTGTATCTTGTCTCTCGTCCTCACCGTCTGTCTCTTGTCTCTCGTCCTCACCATCTGTATCTTTTCTCTCGTCCTCACCGTCTGTCTCTTGTCTCTCGTCCTCACCATTTGTCTCTTGTCTCTCGTCCTCACCGTTTGTATCTTGTCTCTCGTCCTCACCATCTGTATCTTGTCTCTCTTCCTCATCGTCTGTATCTTGTCTCTCTTCCTCATCGTCTGTATCTTGTCTCTCGTCTTCACCGTTTGTCTCTTGTCTCGTCCTCATCGTCTGTATCTTGTCTCTCGTCCTCACTGTTTGTATCTTGTCTCTCGTCCTCACTGTTTGTATCTTGTCTCTCGTCCTCACCGTCTGTCTCTTGTCTCTCGTCCTCATCGTCTGTATCTTGTCTCTCGTCCTCATCGTCTGTATCTTGTCTCTCGTCTTCACCGTTTGTCTCTCGTCCTCATCGTCTGTATCTTGTCTCTCGTCCTCACCGTTTGTGTATTGTCTCTCGTCCTCACCATTTGTCTCTTGTCTCTCGTCCTCACCGTTTGTATCTTGTCTCTCATCCTCACCGTCTGTATCTTGTCTCTCGTCCTCGCCGTTTGTCTCTTGTCTCTCGTCCTCATCGTCTGTATCTTGTCTCTCGTCCTCATCGTTTGTATCTTGTCTCTCGTCCTCACCGTCTGTCTCTTGTCTCTCGTCCTCATCGTTTGTATCTTGTCTCTCGTCCTCACCGTCTGTCTCTTGTCCTCCAGTGTTCCACTTCTCCCAGCGGTTTACCACGGTGGTCCCAGAGTCCTGCATGCTGATCCTATTGGGTCTGGTTCTGGGCGGAGTCGTCCTCTTAGCCAATGAGAAGCAGCTGTACCAGCTAGAGCCCGCCCTCTTCTTCCTCTTCCTGTTGCCGACCATCGTGGGCGACGCCGGTTACTTCATGCCGGCTCGGCTCTTCTTTGATAACCTGGGAGCCATCCTGACGTACGCGGTGGTGGGAACGCTGTGGAACGCCTTCTGTACCGGCTTCTGTCTGTACGCCGCCAAGCTGCTGGGGGTCATAGGTCAGTGTGAGCTGATAACACGACAACACGCAGAGATGAACAGGACGACTTACGACACAATAATAATAATGATAATGATAATAACATTATTGATATTATTATATATATTATGTGTGTGTGTTGTGTGTATTGTGTCTATGTGTGTGTGTAGATGAGCGTGTCCAGGCCGGTCTGATGGACTTCCTGTTGTTTGGAGCTCTGATCTCAGCTGTAGATCCCGTCGCTATTCTCGCCGTGTTTGAAGAAGTTCACGTCAACGACACGCTCTTCATCATCGTCTTCGGAGAGTCTCTGGTTAACGACGCCGTCACCGTGGTGAGTCACACACACACACACACACACACACACACACACACTGACACACACACACACATACATGCATAATGACTTTTTGGGTATTTCCCAGCAGACTGGTGTCCACTACGTGGTTCTAGGTGGTTCTGCCCAAACCAACACACGCCTAGCTCCAGAGCTCATGGAGGTCATCAGTAGAAGATCTCTGGAGGAAACAGCAGAACGTTCCTTTAAACCTTCTTCTTCCTCTCAGTACCACCAGATGTTTGATGAAGAGGAGGCTCTACAGGTCTACATGATGAACACAGAGACCCTTTAACGTTCTACAGGTCTACATGATGAACACAGAGACCCTTTAACGTTCTACAGGTCTACATGATGAACGCAGACCCTTTAACGTTCTACAGGTCTACATGATGAACGCAGATACCCTTTAACGTTCTACAGGTCTACATGATGAATGCAGAGACCCTTTAACATTCTACAGGTCTACATGATGAACGCAGAGACCCTTTAACGTTCTACAGGTCTACATGATGAACGCAGATACCCTTTAACGTTCTACAGGTCTACATGATGAACGCAGAGACCCTTTAACGTTCTACAGGTCTACATGATGAACGCAGACCCTTTAACGTTCTACAGGTCTACATGATGAACGCAGAGACCCTTTAACGTTCTACAGGTCTACGTGATGAACGCAGAGACCCTTTAACGTTCTACAGGTCTACATGATGAACGCAGACCCTTTAACGTTCTACAGTTCTACAGGTCTACATGATGAACGCAGAGACCCTTTAACATTGTACAGGTCTACATGATGAACGCAGAGACCCTTTAAGGTTCTACAGGTATACATGATGAACGCAGAGACCCTTTAAGGTTCTACAGGTCTACATGATGAACGCAGAGACCCTTTAAGGTTCTACAGGTCTACATGATGAACGCAGAGACCCTTTGACGTTCTACAGGTCTACATGATGAACACAGAGACCCTTTAAGGTTCTACAGGTCTACATGATGAACACAGAGACCCTTTAAGGTTCTACAGGTCTACATGATGAATGCAGAGACCCTTTAATAATACATATACATATATATATATATATATACATACTGTACATACGTATAATTACATGACTCTAAAAGTCTCTCTGTCTCCAGGTTTTATATAAAGTCTACATTTCATTTGTGGAAGTTGGAGCTGAGAACGTTCAGACGGCCGATTACTTCAAAGGAGTCGGTGAGTTCAAAGAAACAATAAAAAGTAGATCAGACTCCTCCTCCTCGTCCTCCTCCTCCTTGTCCTCACTCTTCCTCCTCCTCCTCCTCCTCAGCCTCCTTCCTCATCGTCAGTATTGGAGGGACTCTGGTGGGTCTGGTCTTCGCAGTCCTCCTCGGCTTCATCACTCGGTTCACTAAGAAGGTTCGGATCATCGAGCCTCTCTTCGTCTTCCTGCTGGTCTACCTGGCCTACCTGACCGCCGAGCTCTTCTCCCTGTCCGCCATTCTGTCGTGAGTCTCCCCAACCAGTTAAGACCAGTTAAAAGACCATCAGACCACTACCACTAGTCCAGGGGTCGGCAACCTTTACTATCCAAAGATAGAGACATTTTGTCCTATTTTTCACCAAATAAAATTTGTCTGGAGCCGCAAAAGCTATTTGATATCACAGCTTATAAAGTTGTATATATAGTTATATTATATATACAAAAACTATAGTTTGTTGTATTTATAAAAGTATAGAACAAGAATAAAGACAATTATTGACATTTTATTGCTATTTTACCTGTCAGAACAATATCAAACTCTTATGAAGAGGAGAGTTTGCTGCAGCAGCTGAGAAATCGCTCTTTGTCGCTCATCTCTAGCGTGACACTTTTCAGCACATGCTGTGTGCTTGTTCTGGAAGCATACATGTAAACCAGCATCGTTGGCAGTGAAAGCAAATGAAGACGTCCACGCAGAGTTAAACTCTCTATTTTCCTCCGTGACTTTTCTTTTTTTCGATTTATCCATCGATAGTTTACAGAGGATTAATGTTGCGCCAATACTTTATGGTAATAAATAAATAATAAACACGGGGCTCTGTAATCTGCACGAAGACGTCAGCAACTTTATTCACTTCTCCCACACTTCAGCAGAACCTCTTTTTGTCTTTCCGTCTCATCCTCCACAATAAAAGCCCCAAACACATACAGGAGCACTGCTTCCTAGAGAGCTCTTAATGTGCTCAACATAAGAGCTTACAATAGTTTCCCGAGGGCGGAGGTCTGCAAATCATAATTAGCCACCTGCAGGGAAAGGCGCTTGACCAGTACAACCATAGAGACCACTAAGACCAGTACAACCATAGAGAACACTGTGACCAGTATAACCATAGAGAACACTGTGACCAGTACAACCATAGAGACCACTCTGACCAGTACAACCATAGAGA